ACCCTGTATACATTTATTTTAAAAAGCCATAAAATATGCATTTATAACACAAATATGCTTTAAAATTTAAATATTTATATTTATTATTATTTATTTAATATATGTGTATAGAAATATAGAAAGTAAAAAAAATAAAATTGAAAGTTAAAATATGTATTTATATAGGGTAAGTGTATTTATATAATGTCTATTTTGTATATAATTCACCTGGAATGAGCTTCTTTCTAGCCACTCAATGTATTATTTTGTATTCCATGAATAAACACTTTTGATATGAAGTTAGATACAATTAAATTTTTTTTTTATTTTATGGAACTGTTTTGGAATACTATTTTAGTTATATTTGATAAAAAAAATATTTCACGATGATAGTTTTTATTTAGTTAAATAATTGTTAATTATTTTTAATATAATTTATGACATAGGTTTATTTAAATGTTATTTGTTACTACATTTATTATACAAGACCACCTTACTATTTAAGGTTGAGTTCTGCTGAGTTGCCAATCAGGTATGTCAATTTACAGTTTGTGCCAGTTGTGGCCATGTAGTGGCCACAAATAGATCATAGTATGCACCAGTTCTAGCCATCAGCTAAATTACTAGCTAAGTTGCGTAACAACTTTTTACTAGGTACCTAGCATGAATAGGAAAAAATACAACTCGATAAACAAAAAGGAAGTTATTTCAATATCTCCAACAAAGCTTAAACATGCATTGGATTCTATTCAAAGTGGGTCATTAAATGTTTTGAAGGCCACAAAACATTACAATGTGCCAAGATCTACTCTAAGCTTAGAGGCAAGTCAGAGGATGATTCTCATCATGTTGGGACTAAAGCAGTGTTGGGTGTATCAGTTATTTTTATAATACTCAGTACAGTAATTCGGTCAAATTTTTTTTTCTGTGTCTGTCTACAGCATAACTAGTCGAAATAATGCTTTGATTTAAAACTCTGGGAGTGGTTTCTGATAGCAAAGTGAATATATTTGGTGCATTATAGAGGTTAAAAGTAAACCTTTTTTCAACAGTTTTCAAAAAAATCGAGAAAAACCAAAAAAAAAGTGACGGAAAAACGGGAATCAAATCGATTTTTTAAATGACATTAACTCAAAAATTAATCACTGTAAAAACTTGAAGTTTTCACCACATGTTTATATTATGGTTATTAATGCATGGCTAAATTTTTAAAATATGTTGACTTTTTTTGAGCTATTTATAGACAACTGATATTTTCGATTTTTCTGAGAATTTTTTTTTGAAGTGTCAATAACATTTTTTGGCCCAGTCAATTATTGCTAGTCGATATCTGTTATCAATCAAATTAGTAATTACAGTAGAAACCGTTTATAATGACACCGGTTGTAGTGACATATTGGGTGTAATGACCTTAGATTAAATGTCCCGGCAAAACTCCTATATTGTATGTACTAATTTGTATCGGTTATTATGACGTCTATATAATGACTACGGATGTTATGAAGGTTATTTTTGGTTATATTAGAAAAATATTTTTTCTATAATGACTTTACTTTATCGAAGGTACTATTACAATAGTTATATATTACATATTGTTACTATATTACATAAGTTTCCCAAACATAAATGGATCTGTTAGCTTTGATAATGATGAGCTAACTTCAGAACCATTAAGTGATCAAGAACTTATTTCTTCATTGATTAACCAACCCGAAGAACCTGAGGAAGACGATAATAGTGAAGAAGCTGATACTCGTACTCCCGATGGAGATTTATCTAGTAAGTCTAAAGATAAATTTTGAAGAACTAGAAAAAAATAGAGAGTGATTTTTATACTAAGTTCAATCTAAAATAACAGATTTCTTTAAATAATAATTGAACTAATTAATTTAAATATGTATGTACATAATTATATGTTTTTGTCTTTACTTTTTTCCATATTGTAAATTGCATAAATAAATAATAATAATAGTATGTATTGAAGTTACAATTTTTTTTTCGTTATTTTGGTTATTATATGACCTATTTTCTTTGGTCCCTTTAACGTCATTATAAACGGTTTCTACTGTAATTAAATTATTTGAATCCAATTGGTTTGTAAGTATTTAACCTAATACTTATTAATTGGTATATAGTAGCAATAATTGTTCTATAAATCTACAATATTGATGATGCCTAAGTTACATTATTTTATATGCATACAGCCTTATATGTACCTATAGTAGATACCTAAATGATACATTTATATTAGTTACATTAATACCATTATAATTATTTTATTAAAAAACATATTGTTGACTAATTAAATGAATACATTTTTGAAAAACTAACTGAATCTTTATAACAAATAAAGTTCACATGTTCTTATACGACTAATTATTGATTATTTCATACTATTGGAGTATTATTTTCTTTTTAATCTATTAGACATTGATTAGGGCAATACATGCATGTTGCACATTATTTAAGTAAATATTTGAAATAAAAGTATTAATATTAATTATGTATAGTTTATACCTATACGTATACATATTAAATTGTATTTAGACATGTTGGATTGAATATTTGTCTGGTTGTGGTAAGTATGAACTTTGATATAATATTACAACTATTTGTTTAAATATTGTTAATAGTTAGTAGGTACCTAGTTTAGTATTTTTATTATTCTTCTTCTTAACAGCTTAGCGGACCATGTAGGTCCATCGCTGCCACCATTATTTCACTCCATCGGGCCTTATCATTCGCATCTTCCATTTTTACGTTATCATTGATCATTTTTAGATCTTTTACTATTACATCCTTCCATCTTGTTCGGGGTCTTCCTACAGGTCTTTTCCCCACAATTCTTCCTTCAGTATTTTTATTATTTATTATTTTTAGTA